GACCGATCGTTTTGTGTCTTTACACATCAATGTATCGTCACGAGCCGCAGGGTTTAATTTGGTTTTGTCTGTGTATGTTTTTTTGGCTCTCAAAGCCGTGATTCCCATTCACTTCAATTATAAGACTGACAGACTGCAACGGTTTGAGTTCAAAATCTTTGTTTGTGTTCTACTGAAGAAACAAAGTGACCTACATCTTGGATGCCCTGAGGGTAAGCAGATAAACATCAAATTTTCATTTTTGGGTGAACTGTCCCTTTAAGGCCGTAATGAATCTGAATCAAATCTGGAAGTCAGTGCTAATACCCATAAGTCTGGTTTTCACACATCTTGTGTTCTCACAGGGAGCTGAATACGAATTCAGAGGTGAAGATTGTCCATACCTCAGTTCATGGGGTGGGCCATATTTTTGTCCAGGCTGCTTTTAAGGCCTTTGACCTTCATCCTCCATATGCCGTGGAACAGCAGAAAGATCCTGACCCAGAGTTCCCCACCGTCAAATACCCCAACCCTGAGGAGGGAGAGGGAGTCTTGGTACAATACACTGATACACACACACAAATGACATTAGAAAAAGTGATATATATATATATATATATTTTGTGGTTTTGTTATGTAATGCCAGATGGACAGTAATCTATGTTTGTGTATGTAGACATTATCCTTCGCGCTTGCAGATAAAGAGGGAGCAACTGTTATTCTGGCAAATGACCCTGATGCTGACCGACTAGCTATTGCAGAGAAACAGGAGAGGTCAGTGTTATTTGGCATTTTGTGTTGATTTTCATTCAGTGTGTCATTTTTCTGAATAGCAATAATTCTTTCGGTAGTGGGCAGTGGAGGGTGTTCTCTGGGAATGAATTGGGTGCTTTACTCGGCTGGTGGATTTTCCAGTGCTGGAAGCTGCAGAAAAGAGAGGGAAAAGCCTCCATTAAGGATGTCTACATGCTATCCAGCACCGTCTCCTCAAAAATCCTCCGTGCCATTGCTGTAAAAGAGGGCTTCCACTTTGAGGTACCGCTGCTTTTTACCCCATAAAGTGTAGTGGTTTCTCTAACCCAGTGGTTCTCAACTTTCTCACCCCTTGTCCAAGAATATATTTGAAGGCCCTCCTATCTATAATGTTTTTAGCATTCCAATGAAGATTATGTTAATATTACTACATTTGAATAATTTTAAATCTTATTGGGCCCGCCCTTAAAGTTTGCAGAGGCCCTCTGTTTGAGATCCACAGCTCTTAACCAAAGGAAAAATTTCTTTTCTGACAGCAGTGAATATTAGAATTGGTAAAATACTGGGACAATTTTAGTGTAATCTTGTATTTTATATGATTATGGTCTAAATTATAAATTGAATTTAGTATTTGACAAATTGACTGTTTCATGGGTCAATAATAATGTGCGTTTCCCCAGCCCTGGAGATCCTGGAAATATCAGGGAATTGCAAAAGTGTGGAAAAATCCATGAAAATGTATACAATCTTAAATAGTCATTAACATATTCTTATAATTCTCAGTTTTTAAGAATTTCTTTGGCTAGAAATGACTCTTTGTAAGCGCAATCTCACATAAAATTATTTTTAAAAATCCTTATCCAGTCATCAGAAACAACTGGAAGAGTCTTGGAAAAATAATGGAAATTCTTTGGTCAGAAAGTGCAGCTACTCTGAAGGCATACTCTTATTTTGTACAGTATCATGTGTGGAAAAATAATTGATTACTCACTTTTGATGTTCTTCTGTCTGACTCTCTGCATCTGTCTTTTACAGGAAACTCTAACAGGCTTTAAATGGATGGGAAATAGAGCCAGAGAGCTGATGGACCAGGGAAAGACTGTTCTGTTTGCTTTTGAAGAAGCCATTGGTACAGTGGCATCCACACCGCAAGATGCTGAACATTTATGTGCATTTGTGTAACAGTCTGAATTTTGATCTTGGGTTCAAACCACAGACCCCTAGATAAGTAGTTGTCAGTGTCTATTCATTTTTATGCATCACAATATCATAATTGTATTGAAATGTAAAAAAAAAAAAACAGTGGTGCAGACTATATTAAAAGAAAGCCTTAATATTTTTCTTTGGTTGCTCTGTTGTTGTAGGTTACATGTGTTCTCCAGCAGTTTTGGACAAAGATGGTGTGAGTGCGGCTGCCATTGCTGGCGAGTTTGTCTCTTACCTGGCTTCTAAAAATATAACTCTGTCCCATCAACTCAGATCCATTTATGAGGAGTATGTCACAAAAACTTCGGCATTGACATCTCTAATAATTTATGTTCTGAATCTTCTTGTTAATCATAGTTTTCACATCGTCTTATTTCAGGTACGGTTACCACATTTCCAAGAATTCCTACTTCATCTGTGACAACCAAGACACTATTAAACAGATGTTTGAGTGTCTTCGGAACTACGATGGGGAGAATTCATACCCTAAAGAGTGTGGGGGCTTTGCCATCACAGCAGTGAGAGACCTTATGACTGGCTATGACAGCAACCAGCCGGACAACAAGGCTGTGCGTAGCCCATAATGATTAGAATTATTGTGATAGTTGATCTTATTTAAAGTTTTCTTATCCTATATCTGTGTGTCCTTTACTATTACTCACAGATTCTGCCCACCAGTAAAAGCAGTCAGATGATTTCCTTCACCTTTGCTAATGGAGGCGTGGCTACAATAAGAACCAGCGGAACAGAGCCTAAAATCAAATATTACACAGAGCTCTGTGCTGCACCAGGAAACAGGTTTTAGACAGCTTCATTATTTCACACTATCACTATAGGCCTAATTTTAAAATAATAATTATTAATATACTGTATGTAGAATTATTATTATTATTTAATGGAAACATATTGCAGTAGTAATATTTTTTTGATTTGTTTATTTTTTTATAAATTACTTTGCAATATATTATTATTGTTGTTATTATTATTAAAGGTGATTTTTATTTTATTATGACTTAATTTATAAAAATAGACAAATCAAATAATTATTACTATTGCAGTTTTTTTTACATTCAACAATAACAATACATTACATACTGTATAATAATATATATTAATAGTAATATAATAATATAGAATTTATTATTCTTATGTATCATAATATGCTATTAGAATTATTAGTATTATACTATTCTATTCTATAATACTATTCAATGTGACTATACAATAATAATAATATATTACATTAAACTGTACATTACTTAGAATTCTTAATGTTGTGTGTGCGTCTGTGTGTGTGTGTGTGTGTGTGAAATTATTATTATGAAGTACTGTTTCTATGTTACAGTATAACAGTATAGTTGCAATAGTGATATATTTCTTCGATTTTTAGTTTTTATAAATACATATATTTTATTAATATATTACATATCATTCTATATTATTTTATTATTATTATTATTATTTTAAAATTGTATAGTCATATTAAATGGGGGAAAACTCTTGTTTTTAGCTGATCACCTGCTTGAGTATGCCACTTTTTTTTAACTATATAATAACAGTCGTCGTTATTATATGATAAATATTTCCAACTGTAGCTTTGTATGCTGTTGTCACATGCAGCATATTTTATTAACTTTATTTATAGAATATTAAGTTAATAAAACAAATTAAAGGTAATAGGTCATCAGGGTATTCTATGCAGACACAAAATTTGCATACTCTGCACACTGTACGCTGCAATAATAGTAAAAGCAGTATGTTAGCAAGATCATGGCCATAGAGCCTTAATCATAGTCTTGGCACATGAATAGCTCATAATCTTTTAAAAACAAATTTTCTGTCTGTCTTTTCTCTAGTGATCTTAACCAGCTGAAAACTGAACTGGATAACTTGGTTGATGCCATCGTGGAACACTTCTACCAACCAGATAAAAACAACTTGACTCCTCGACCAGAGTGAGAGAAACTATCACTCAGGTTTACAAAGATTTTGTCTAATTCAGCTATTAGTCTTAACATACCACACATAACCACTCTTATTAAAACTTACACATTCTGGGTCTCAATCTAAAGAGGACTTACTTACTTTGCACTTACTTACTTTTAATGCAGGAAATGTAGATCAAAGCTGGTGCCACATGAACATACCTATTGCCTTTTTCATTTTTTCATTTTTGCACTTTTACATTTTTTCACCTTTCAGTTTTGTAATCTACAATGTTATCGGATGAGTTTTTATTTTTTTGCCTTTTTGACCTACAGTAGTGAACTATGAATGTACTAATGTTGCAAAGAAAGTGTGTTTGAATTAATATAAAGTAGATATGTTAGTTGAGTTGATTGACAGAAATGATTCCATATTGCTGGAGCAGAGGACAATATGTAGTTACTGTTTAATTCAGCCAACCAAATAACCTCAGAAATCAAAAAGCCAGCTCATGTCATTTTATACCAGCAATGCTCAAATCCAGATTAGAGGGACCCAACAGCCTTACTGTGGAAAAAAAAAATTATATCTACATTTTAGTTTTCCACGTTTATATGATTCCATTGCGTCTTTATTCAATCATCTATGTTCAGTGACATGTAACTGTTTGATTACATGCAATTTTTTTGTAAATGTTTATTTACATTTTGAATATCAAACTCAACCAGTTTGATAATTCATTCAGAACTTTTAGCCGTGAGGTTGAGGCTGGGAACATATGTGGAAAGGTTTTACATTTGAACAGAAAGGAAAAGTATTCCTTGAATAGATTAGTGTTTGTGTTGTGTTAAAGCAGCTTGTTTTTTAGACATCTCATTTTGGCAAATAGTTGTTACACTGAGATTTAACAGAGCATATGCCTTACTACAAACTCCAAAGTGGACTATGTCATCTAATGTAAGGCTGACTAGCCAAACCACCAGATACGTTAAAATGCCTGTTGACTTCTTTTTCATGTAAAGTGATTTGATGTTTCAGGAGCTCTTCAGTTTAATACTTTTCTCACAATGCTGTTTTTCCCCTCTATTTGGAATCAATAAACAGCAAGTGGTAACAACAACAACATGGTCTTTTGTCTGTGTGGGAGTGTGTGATAAAAATGTAGAAATAAATAAAATGGATCTTATATAACAAATTTTATTCCTTGATTAAACACGTTAATCCAACATTCACTGTCCATTTTTAAAAGTCTCAAACTCATGGGTTCATTAAATTGTACTTTCCTGAGGTCTGACTATGAAAGCCAATGCATGTATTATCTGTTTAAGGCCAGCAGAGGGTATAGTTGATCCCAAAACTTTGATTTTATTTTTAACATTTGTTAAATTAATGTTTTTGATTTATCTTTATATTTGTTGCCTTTATTGTTATTTATTTGCATTTGTATTACTTAATTTTTGTATTGCCTTTTCTTACAGCCTTTCACCAACTTAATGTTCTTAAAAACTTAAAATGCTCTAAAAACTTAAAATGTTCCCTGCTAAAAAACAAACAAACAATAGAAACCATCACAGAATTTGTAATGGTTTTACTGGTTATAATGCGAATTGTATTGGTTTTAATGGAAACTGTAATGGTGCCTGTGGGTCTCTACTCGTAATTGGTCACCTTCTATTGGTGGCTTGTTAAAACCACTAAATCCTAATGGAATATGTCCCAAAACACACTACAGGAAACCATTTTTTAATGGTTTTAATGGATAAAAGTTGATGGTTTGTAATCTTTGTAATGGTGTTTGTAGTGGAAACCATTAGAATTTCTGTGATGGTTTCTATTGTTTTTTTCAGCAGGGTTAGGATTACTTTTATATGTTTGACAAAGTATTTCAGTATATAACAGATATGTAGACCTACTTATTTAGACCTATTATTTTTTGTCCAGTTAAAATCTATAGGCTATTAGTCTATAATTGTGTATGCAAACTTGTTTTAGCTATTTTAAACTTTTCAGGTATAGGCAATCTCGGTCTTTATTTATAGTCTTGCTCACCAGTGTTGGGGAAAGTTACTTTAAAAAGTAATGCATTACAATATTGCGTTACTCCATAAAAAAGTAACTAATTACTTTTCTTAGTTACTTTTTATGGAAAGTAATGTGTTACGTTACTTTTGCATTACTTTTTAAATCTGGACAGGGCTTGCTTGTTTGTTTTTAAAATAAAAAAGTAATATTTTGGCAAATATAAAAGCCTTTTCACACCAAAAGTGAAATGAATAAGCCTCAGGCTGAAGGGAAAGTAAATTTACGTCCGTGCAGTAGAATGCAGAAGAAGAAATTTCAACACACTTCAGCAATAAACAAAGACACACAAATGTTTGTCTAGAGTAATTATTGCTTATTAGTATGGTTGAACTGGATCATCGAAGGTCAGAAGCAAAGACATGGGTAATAGAATGGGATTAAATACATAAAGGATATTTGTGTTGTTTAACATTTAATTATTGCAGGTTGTGTGTGTGTGTGTGTGCGCGCGTGTGCTCGCAGTGGTTTGTGTAACAAACCCATAGACTGTAAAAAAAACCCTGAGGAGAGCAGTTGTGTCATAAATGAAGAGCAAGAGCTGCCTGTGGGCACGTGCACTGGGATTTATCAAACTGGACAGTGAAAGCAGCAGGTACGACGCTGGATAAAGGCACATTCTTTTGTGTAACACTGCTTTACAGTGTCCATATAATACACCTATTGCATGTTCATACTATTAAAGACAATATCAAATAGTAAATTGAGTACTTTGACGCTGTGTTTAGGTCTACGTTATGGACACTGTAACGTTAGCTAAAGCGGGTCACTATTCACTTTTATTAATATGCAGTAAAACTGTCAGTCATCAATTCTATCATTTCCTTTCGAGTTCCTCAGAACAAAGAAACAGCATGATGATGAGTAATAATGACAATTTTCCCCATTCTTCTTTTTAACTATCCCTTTAAAAGCTTTTGAAAAACTAAACGCTAATAAACTCAGCAGCTTTAATATGCATTGTGGATTTCATTGTGAATTTTTTATTTATTTCCTGTTAGTTCTGGCAAGTAGATTCTCTCTCTCTCTCTCTCTTGCTCTGATCCTTAAAAATGACTTTTGTTTGTGTAACAGAATGCAGGCATGGTTCTAGGTTATATTAGATATGCTAGCTAGACTAATCAGTTTATTTAGATGTTACCAAATTAAGCACATTAGATTTTAGCCATTGTTGTTATTGTCAACTAAAACTATTTAAAATCATTTTTGGCAACTGAAATGAACATCAGAAGTTCATTCAAACGTCAGATGAGAACAAGACTTCCTCAATCGCACGCGCAGCGAGCACCACTCAGCTCCGTATACTACTGTCGCGTTATTGAATGCTATGTATGGAGAACGACAGATGTGACGAATCGACTATTTTGTAGAAAAGGCAACCTGAACATCAGTTCCCGATGGGACATTATAACCTGTATTGTCAAAATCTAACGGGACCGTTACTCAAACACTTCCTCAAGGCGGTGCATTGTGAGTAAAGGTAAGTGAAAGTTACAACTTGTCTCCTATGCTAGTTTTTTGTTTGTATATAGAATACATACTTAAAAGTAACCTATCTCTAAAGCAAATTATGGCGCTGTAGCAAACCTATGACCTTGTCACATGTCCTTAAAATCGTTTTAGAAAGAAAAAGTGTTTTTTGAGGCGATGCCATGACCTGTCTTATATATTTTTGTTGTGACATATTGCCTTATTGCCATCAGAGAAACTTTCTGTTGACCTCTCTCTAAATAGCAGTTGTGTCTCATTAGACATGCTTGGCTATGTATACTCACTGTTGGTTCAGTGTGTTTGTGCCTCATGAGGAACCCCTCTCAGATCAGTGCAGGAGGACAATATGTTCCAATGCTTCAAAGCCTTTTTTCAGATTTAATCTACAAAGTCTGTTCTGAAGAGTGCATCCTTTGGCACTATCACGGTATCACAAATTGCTCTGATCCTTAAAAATGACTTTTGTTTGTGTAACAGAATGCAGGCATGGTTCTAGGTTATATTAGATATGCTAGCTAGACTAATCAGTTTATTTAGATGTTACCAAATTAAGCACATTAGATTTTAGCCATTGTTGTTATTGTCAACTAAAACTATTTAAAATCATTTTTGGCAACTGAAATGAAGCTGAAATCAAATGAAATATAAATATTAGATGGAAAAACTTTAAAACTGGAATAAAAATGAGAAATGTTGTCACGGCAATATTTAAAAAAAATAATAAAAATGACAAAAGCACATAACAAAATGACTAAAAGTAAAATTGGTAACACTTTACTTGAAGGGGTGTGAATAAGACTGACATGGCACCTTCATAATTATGACATGACACATGTCATGAATATGAAGGAGGTTTTATGCATGTTTATGACAACTGTCATTAAGTGTCATTCGCTCAGTTATGTCATTTTTAATGCAAATATGACATTATTTGACCTAACCCTAACCTAACCCTACCCTACCCTTACCCCTAACCATAGCCCATAGCCCATAGCCCATAACAAAGACATCTCAAACAATGTCATCTTTGCATTAAAAATTACATAACTGAGTGAATGACGAATGACGACAGTTGTCATAAACATGCATAAAAAAACCTTCATATTCATGACACGTGTCATGTCATGATTATGTAGGTGTCATGTCATGATTATGAAGGTGTCATGTCAGTCTTATGCACACCCCTTCAAGTAAAGTATAACCGTAAAATTCAAATAAAACCTGTAAATATATAAAAGCCAATTCAAAATATTAATAAATAGCCTACTAATAACATAGAAAATGCCAAAATAACAGTGGTTTTAGCCTACCTTAAATAAGAATTAATACTATTTAATGAACTGTAAGATTGCTTTTTCTCAAGCTTGATATTTCTAAAGAGAATCAAAGGAAAAAAGTATTCTTTGCCCGTGTCCTTCTGTAACATTTGCAGGGGCTTTCAGAGTAAGCTGTTTTAATCCCCTGCAAATGGCAAAGTTGATGAAGATGTGCTCAAAGGGTTTGTTATAGGCAATGATCTTCCTCAAACAGTGTGTTGTACCTTAATTGTTTCTGCTCACTGAACCGCCTGCTTCATTAATGTTGGTGTTTTTTTTTCTTTTGTCTTTTGAGGTTACACCTAGTTCCTCATTTTTTAACTAGGAGCATGGAGGGCATTTGTTTCGAGGTCAAACCCAGGGATGACCCAATCAAAGCTCATCCTATCTGTGCCCTTACACAAACACTTCCTGGATCAGAGGGTAAGAGGAAGAAAGAAGAAGGGGAAGAGGAGATTCAGTACAGGCTAACTCTGGTTGGATCTTTGGCCATACATCCACAGACCACAATGGTGATGCTTCCCTGGGTGGTGGCTGAAATACGGAGGAAACAGAAACCTTGAATTCAATGGTGCTCACTCTCCAGAGGTTAGTATATGTAATACTAATTAAATGTATGTTACCAAAAAAATAAAAACACGGCTATGTGAAGCCTAATGTATTGTATTGTAAATGTATATTCTCTGCCTGCTGTTTAAAAGCTGACTTAACTAAGAGTTAGTCTGTTAAGTTATGTTTTAGTCTCGTATTCTCACCATCAAAAATACAGTAAAACAGTTATATTGTGAAGTGTTATCACAATTTCAAATACTGTTTTGTATTTTATACATTTTCAAATATAATTTAGTCCTGTGATGCAAAGCTGATTTTTCAGTAGGCTAGTCATTACTCCAGTCTTTAGAGTCACATGATCCTTTAGAAATAATTCAAAATCATGCTTTGATGCTCAAGAAATATCTCATTGATCCCAAACTTTTGAACGTTAAAGTACATATGAAACAATTTTACTGAGGAATAATAGAAGAATTAGTGTTAAGATCAGGGGTACAAAGAAGTATTATTTTTAATAATACTATGGTACTTGTTATTGACAATTCGGATGTACTATCATATGTTTTTTTTCCTGATGGTCCAAGGTTCGAGATCAGCCTGTGGTACTGCAGATTTCAGCCAATTCAGTGTGTTGCATTCTGGACACGGCAGGCCCGGGGAAGCCATGGGACCCATTGCAACATATGGTTCTGTTTGATCACAGGCCTCATCGTATCATCAAACTCATTCACAACAGCCAAGAGCCCAGCTATTTCGGCTGTCTGCTCAGAGAGGAGAAGAAAGCAGCCTGCTATGTATTCCGCTGCCAGGACCAGATGAAGGTAAGGGGACATTTTTTGGATTAGCAGCATTTTGTTGATTAATATGAACTTCAAATTTAGTTGAAGTGCCTGTGCAAGCTAAATTGAAAATGGAATGGACACCAAGCTACAGAAGCTTAATTCTGCCAATTTAATAAAAATATAAAAGAGGAAATTTTTCTTTACTTTTCTAAACTTTATCTCACAATTCACACTTTTTTTCTCAGATTTGTCAGTTTATATATTGCAATTGCAAGTTATAAACTCGTAATTGCAAGTTTACAGGTCATTTTTTCTCAAAATATGACTGCTGTACTCACGTTTCACAGAAGAGATGTATAGAAGGTCATGCAAAGTTAAAACAGTTTAAATCTCACAATTTTGACTTTTTATCTCGAAATTTTCTTGCAATTCTCTTTTTTTTTTACCCCAGAATATTTAGACAACCTGACTACATGCACATGTCAATTTGCAATTGCAAGATATAAACTTGGATTTCTGAGAAAAAAGTCTGACTTGTGAGATATAGCCTCACAATTGTGAGATAAAAAAGGTCACAATTACCTTTTTATTTCATGGAGGAAATAAACTTTCATACCAAGCATTGTCACTATAACAATAAATTGGTGTGTTTATGGCTGTTAGAACTATTAGAGGTTAACCATAGATGTTATTCTCACATGACTTTGAAGTGAATCTACTTTGATGAAGGAAAGCTCAGATGTTTAAATGTCAAACCTCCCTCCTTATGGGTGTGTGCATCTGTGGATGAACTTTGTTCAAATAAGACACAGTACCATAACAGCACAATGACAATCAGCGAAAACAACCATAAAGTCATTTTACAAGAGTGGTGTCCATGCAGAACATTCCACCACAATGCTAGAGTGTTGCAGGTAGATGCCAGGCCATTGCTGGGCGGTTGCTAAGGTGTTTTGGGGGTTGCTAGGTGGCTTCTTATTATTGGGCTACCCCAATCTCAAGGGATTGATACCGTCATCATTTACTCACCCTCATGGTTTTAAAACCTGTATGATTTCATTTCTTCTGTGGAACACAAAATAAGTTATTTTGAAGAACATTGGGAACTAATATTGATTTATTGTGATGGAGAGTCTGAGATATAAATCGTGAAGCTTCCTTCATCAACCTGCATTTAGGCAGGATGTAGATCTAAGTTGTCATAGTAACCATTTCCTGTGTCAGTGAGCCAGCCACAATGTGGCTACGGACTCCTGGTGACTTTTTATTGATGTGGTAAACAGACAGAGAGATAGAAAAAGAGATAGACAGGTGTTTATGTCGCTGTCTTTTGACCACCTGTTACTCATGCACTCACACTTTCCAAAATCAGTGTGTGCGTGCAAGTTTGAATGTCTTGAGATATCTGAGATCATAGCGGTGTTCCCTCAACTCCACACACTCCATGTTCTTTTTTTAAACTGAAAAACAACAGTTGAATGTCCTCTTCATTTAACCATAAATTATCAGCTTTCATGTTAGCTTTTCACCAGCCAATTTAACCACAATACTAACAAAGATAATTCCACATCTTTCATGTGAGACTGAGACCCCACAGCTGTGCTTCGGCCTTTGGCTCAACAGCTTAGCATATACCAAATACCTTTGTATCCTTCATGTTGTCCATAATATCTCTGTAATATTAGAGTGACAGCTGTGAAAATAACAAGTCAAATTTAAGCTATGGCATTATATGTGTTTTATATGTAGTTATGGGTAACTTAAAGTCGTGATGAAACAGAAGAAGTGACAGATCTTTTCTTAAATATTGTGATGTACATCTGAGTGTAATGTATTATCAAAATAGAAAAAAATGCAGGGCGATGACTTGGTTCCGTCCATTGGTTGTTGATTGGATTTTGAGGTGTGGCCTTTGTGCTTGCAGTTGATTTTGGAGGGGCGGGGTTTAAGCAGAGCAAATGATTGGAGAAGTCCAGCATATGTCACCAGAGAAAAGTCTGTAGTCATAACATCTTGATAAAAAATTATGAGGTCAAATAATGTTTTAAAAAATGAATGGATGAATTTTTTGCCCCCCAAAAATGAGTTTGTAGTAATGCATTTTCCACTGAGAAATCTTTGCTAAAAGTACTTAAGCTTGCATTTTTGTTAAAGCACTTAAATTAATTCCTCTTAAAAAAGTTGAACTTGTTTTAGTGGTGAATGAACTTGTGGTGAACTTGTGAGGAGCCTCCCCTCTCCTCATTTTTTGCATTCATGATAGGCTTTTGACTACAATTTCCTTATCATGAGTTTTTTTATGTCAGTATGTTCAATGTATGGAAGCCCATTTCTGTCACTGAATAAAAAATAAAAAAGGTAATTGCGACTAATCTCACAATTCTGACTCGTTTTTCTGCGAGTTTACATCTTGCAATTGCGTGACATCAACTCACAATTGTGAGATAAAAAGTAAAACTCACAATTGCGAGCTGAAAAGTCAGAATAGCAAGATAGAAAATCAGAATGGCAGGATATAAACTTGCAGTTCTGAGAAATAAATTCAGAATCACGAGATATGAACTCAAGATGCGAGTGTGAGTTTGTATCTCGGAATTCTGTCTTTTTTCTTGCAATTGTGAGTTTATTTCTCAGAATTATGAGATATAAACTCGCAATTGCGAGTTATAAAGTCCAATTCTGAGGAGAAAAAAAGACTGATGTTCTCAGAATTACGAGTTTATATCTTACAATTCTGACTTCGCAATTGCAAGTTCATATCTCGCAATTCTGAGAAAAGTAAGAATTTCCAGTTTATATCTCGCAATTCTGATTGCGAAAGATAAAAAGTCGCAATTACCTTTTTATTTTTATTCAGTGGTGGAAATGGGGTTCCATGCTGATGTATGGAGATGAATTACACAGTTTATGGTGCGAATTATGTTTTTCTTTTTAATGACACTGTGCATCGCATTATTTCAATATTAAAATGAACTGGACCAATGATGATTCTGAAAGCAAATGCCCCCCGGACCCTACTGTTGTTATAGTAATGACCACAACGTTTAAACACATCTGATTGACAGATAAACTGCACACTTTTACACTTTTATCTGAGTGTTGTTTTTAATTTATGTAGATGCAGATATTAATGTAGATATTTAAGTCTGCTTCGTTCATTCAGTTTAACAACATTAAGTTAAAGAGGATAAATGTTCTTGTTTTTACTCTGTCCATGCATTAAATGCATGTGCAGTTTTCTAGCATAACTTCTTAGGTAATGTCAATGATCAGTTTTAGATGAGGCCAAAACTACAACAGCAGTGGTTACATATAAATATATTTTAATTGTTTGATCAAATGATTGCTAGGGACAATTCAGCATTCGCTGGATATTGGTAGGGACATGTCCTTAGCAACCCTACTAAATTCTGCACCCTTGTGCAGAAGTTACTGGGTTTACAGGAGGTGAAAAATTAGATATAACTTTACACAAAGTTATTTAGTGATTTTGTCAAACTAGTAGCATGCCAACATGTATAATATGTTTAAGTCTTGTGGCTATACTTTTAAAACTGAATGTATTTTAACATTTATTTCATATTTAACATTATTTTAGATAAAACAAGAAGTATTTATTTATTTATTTTTGCACAGCCTCGATGGCTCATGTATCATATTTATAATACTTTAAGGAGGGAGATGTGTTTGCTGTTTCTAGTAAGGGAAAAAAGATTAGATAGATATCCGTTACAGTATCAAGGGACCGGATCAATTTAAGTAGGACAGAGAGATAGTGGGACACAATGGACACAAAATTGATTGAATCATATAAAATAACGTCTCACTGAATAAATTTAATTTAGTTTGGAATTTTGGAGAGTCACTTTTGTTCCAGTTGTGGGGTCCAAACATCTGACAGCATATTACACATTTAAATTTGTAAATAAAGATGTACATTTTTTTGTTGAAAACGATACAAAAGATACTCTTTCTCAAATTATGCTGTAAAATATGATTGTCATGAGTGATTCTGTCATTAAAGCAAATTACATAAATACAAAGATATTCTAAAATGTATGTTTATTCATTTAAAATGTTTGAAAATTGTTAGGCTTATAATTTGCAATTTAAAAAATATATAGGAAAAAATGCTTTATGTTTCTAGTCTGTCAGTCTGTTACATTGTCTTAATTGATAATTTGTAATGGAAATATTTATTAAATAAAAAAACGATATGTTCCTGCAGTCTGTCAGTATATACAGTGTTATAATTTATAATTTGTGCTGAAAAATATTTGAGAAAATAGACAATAAAAATGCTATATGTTATGCCTGTCAACAGTACAGGATTGTATACAATCCTATCTGCCACCAGGTGGTGGTCAAATCCTGAACTTTGAAAATCTTTAACGCATGGAGAGTGAATAAATATTTCAGTCAACAAACCATTAATATTATTACTTATAAATCTTAACCCTAGTCTAAAGTTAACTAAAGTAGGTTTAATTTATATTGCAACTAGATTAATGCAACTCCCTTCCGATAGGATCTAAACGAAACTTATTTTTAAGCTCACAATTTAACACTTATTGTCCCGTATTTTCATTTTCTGAAGTTGGCAACCCTAGTCCCCGTGGATGTGATTCTGATTCTCCAGTGCATTTTTCTCCCATCATTTGAATGTTAGTCTACCGTCACATCCCACTGAGCGCTGTTCAAACGGCTACACACACTACAAACTCCCAGTAGTTTCACTTTCTCCATGAGATCTGGATGGCTGAAGCGATGAAAGCGCGCTTCCACATCTTTCATTTACTGCGGAGGGATGTGAAAAGCAAGCAGGAGACCGTGAGTACCTTTATGAACTTGGTGTGGAATTTGTTTAGTTTAAAAGTTATGTGTGTTAGCATGGTTAGCTAGTCGGTTAGCCACTAATGAGAGTTAAGTGAACATTAGCCCACAGAAAAATAATTAATCCCTTTGTTATTTCCTTAAATTGTTTCGTTTTCCCCATCGTGAAGAGGCAATACCGAGTGTTTTATATAAAGCTTTAGAGA